CTGGCCAAACTGCAATGAAAAAATAGCCGGGTGTTGTGGTGGGCACCTGTAGTCCCAGCTACTCAGGAGGCTGAGGCAAGAGAATCACCTAAGCCCAGAACTGGAGATTGCTGTGAGCTGTGATGCCACAGCACTCTGCCGAGGGCAACTGTCTCTTAAAAAAAAAAAAGGAAAAAAAGATATAATAAAAACAAAAAAAAATCAAAAAAATAAAAATAAAAACAACCCAAGTGTCCATCAATCAATAAATGGATAAACAAAATTAAAATTATTCCATCATAAAAAGGAATGAACCAGTGATAATAAACACCACAACACAAGTGAACCTGAAAGCACTACGCTAAATACAGGCACAATACAGACACAAAAAGTACATATTATTATGTGATTCATTTACATAAAACGTCCAGAATAAGCAAATCCATAGAGAAAGAAAGTATACAGGTGGGGTGGTTCCCTTAAAATTGGGGCAGAGGAAGGAATAGTGAGCAACTGCTTAATGATTACAGGCTTTCATTTTGGGGGGACAAAAATATCCAACATCAGATAGTGGTGACGGTTGCACAACACAGTGAATATACTGGGAGTCACTCTATTGTATACTTTAATATGTTTAAGATGATTAATTTTATGTCATATGAATTTTAGCCCAATTTTTATAAAATGTGGTTTTTCCTGGGCACAGAATTTGGGATGTGTGAGGGGAGGGAGATCCTGATTTCTCATCATGAATCCTTTTCCACTTAATCTTTCCACATACAGTAATGCTCCCCTTATCTGAGGACACAGACAGATTTCCCAACTAAGTTAAAACCACAGAAAGTGACTATTAAGAGAGAAACAGTGGCACGGTGGCTCACACCTGTAATTCTAGCACTCTGGGAAGCCAAGGTGGGGGGATTGCTTGAGCTCAGTAGTTTAAGACCAGCGTGAACAACCAAGTATAGAAAACCAAGAAATAGAACTAAACTAAAAATAGAAAAATCAGCCAGACATCTCAGTGGGAGCCTTCAGCTACTCAGGAGGCTAAGGCAAGAGGTTATCTTGAGGCCAAGAGATTGAGGCTGCTGTGAGCTATGATGACACCATGGCACTCTAGCCAGGGTGACAGAGTGAGACTATGTTACAAAAGAAAAAAAAAAAGAGAGAGAGAGACAAATAGTGCAGATACACGGCCTTGAAATTATACTCTGCACATTATCATCTTCGTTAACTTTCTTTCTTCTCCCATTTATATGTTACAGTACAATTCTAGATTTAGTTCACGGATAGTAATTTAAAAATGTGGGAATTAAATCATTAGGCAAATCAGTTACTTCCTCCTTCCAAATAATAAACAATAAATTTTAAGTGAAATTAGCAATCAGAATGAATAAACGTATGCAAATTTTCCAGGGAAAATTGTGGTCAGTTATAAAAAAATGGTAATACATTTACTATTATCAGATTTAAATTTCCTGAGTTTTCCTCCAAATTTCCTGAGTTTTCCTCCAATTGAAGGTGTTTGATGGCAAATTCACTTCAAAAGTTTTCTTCAGGCTCGGCACCTGTGGCTCAAGCGGCTAAGGCGCCAGCCACATACACCTAAGGTGGCGGGTTCGAATCCAGCCCGGGCCGCCAAACAACAATAATGGCTGCAACCAAAAAATAGCCGGGTGTTGTGGCGGGCACCTGTGATCCCAGCTACTTGGGAGGCTGAGACAGGATACTCACTTGAGCCCAGGAGTTGGAGGTTGCTATGAGCAGTGAAGCCATAGCACTCTACCCAGGGGGACAGTTTGAGGCTCTGTCTCAAAAAATAAAAAATAAAAAAGTTTTCTTCAAAGTTTCACTTAGTATCTACGAAGAGTTTAATACTTACTTATCAAGGAAATCTTTGTCCACTACAGCAGAGATGTCAAGCAGAGGATTTCCCAGTCCAAAGAGGATATTTTCACTAAAAAAATACAAACAAAATTAAAGCACAAGTTAGAAATACTTCTGGAAGTAAGCTGACATGTAAAATGTACACAAATATAAAAACTCTTCATTTCATCCTGAAAATAAACCTAACAAAGGCTTATTAAATCTCTGATTTGCCTATTACACACCGGACATTTTAGAAATAGCAAAGCCATTTAGAAAAAAAAATGACTTTTTACTTTTGTTTTAATTTTTTTCTCTAAAGGATGATATTTACATTGGAGGAAACAAAACATAACAAAAGAAACCAAATCACATGGCTTTTTCATAATATTCAACAGCTACTGATTAAAGCTAAGTAATTTCAAAATCTTTTTTTTAAAAAAAGGCCCATTACAACAAAGTCCTATACTCAATAACCATGACAGATAATTAATCCTCTCTAACTAGTAAGATACCCCCCTATGGCATGGTGGTCAGACCTACAGTCCTAGTTACTCAGGAGGCTGAGGCTAAAGGATCATGTGAGCCCAGGAGTTTAAAGCTTCAGTGAGTTATAATTGCACTGCTATACTCCAGCCTGGGCAACAGAGTGAGACCCTATTTCTAAAAAATAAATGAACAAACAAATGAATCAAAATTATTAGAAAGCATGTGGCAAGTCCTGGAAAAGCCCATGCATGAGTCCTGCCCTTAACCTACTCTAAACGACTGTGCAGCCTTCACCATGAGTATTTTAGAGATTTATCTGTCATGTTTATTGAGTGATTTTGTAATTTGAGGTTCTGACCTGTGAACATACTGCTGCTTCTCTCAGGCTCTCCTAATGGATCATGGTTGATTCTAGAGTAAAGTTAGATTTTAAAAGTCCTTATATGGAAAATAAAGTTATATAACACAAATTCAAAATAGGTTGTGATAAGTTAATAATGAATATTGTACAATAATCAAAGCAAACAGATAAATGCATAAACTTAGTCAATTTTAACAGTCCTTTTTTATCAGTAATTGGTAAAATGCGCAGACACGAAAATAAGGAAGGAATCACACCACTAATTATTTAATCCAGAGAAATAAAAAACTTCATGCAGAAACCTGGACAAAAACGTTCATAACAGATTTATAATATTAAAAGACAAGAAACAACCCTAACACCCTCCACAGATGAATAGGTAAACTATGATATAACCATAAAGTGGACTACCACTCAGCAATACAAAGGAATTAACTATGATACACACAACTTGGATGGCTATCAAACGCACTGTGGCAAGTAAAAAGAGCTCTATCTCTGGGTTACATACACTTACATAACTCTCAAAGTCACAAAATCACATTGATGGAGAACAGACCAGTAGTTGCCAGAGGTTAAGTTTAGGGAAGGGCAGAACCATAAAGAGATAACAAGAAGAAATTTCTTTGCGGTCATAAAATGATTTGATACCCTGACTGTGGCAATAGTTACATGAATTTAGACATGATACATTTTATAAAACTATACACCAACACCTCCTCAATAAAAAGAGTATATTAAGAAATTGGTGGCTTGGCACCTGTGGCTCAAGTGGCTAAGGCACCATCCACATACACCTAAGGCAGTGGGTTCAAATCCAATCCGGGCCTGCCAAACAACAATGATGGCTGCAACCAAAAAAAATAGTCGGGCATTGTGGCGGGTGCCTGTGGTCCCAGCTACTTGGGAGGCAGAGGCAGGAGACTTGCTTGAGCCCAGGAGTTGGAGGTTGCTGTGAGCTGTGATGCCAC